GGGGCTGCAGGGCACCTGCCCCCCTTTAACTTATGTGTGTTTGGATCCTATTTAACTCGTAATTATTCCTCTGTGTGTATCTGGGAGAGTCCCCACATCCCTCCCCTATAAAGCTGTTATCTGGATGCCTGTGCTTTTCTTTAGGGGACAGGAGGCTCTGCCCTGCTCCTGCTACCATGCTGCCTTACCAGGATCCCTGGGGAACCGGGTGGGGACAGCTGACTTGCACAGCTGGCAGCTCGCCGGCACAGCTGGAGGGGAGAAACCCCCAGACCCTCCTTCGACTGTACACTGCCCTTTCTCTGCAGGTACAACAGTGCCTGGAGCAGCGCATCCCTGCGTGGTGCCAGCTGTCTTTCCCCTTGGCACCACGAAGGGCTGTGAAGGAGGATGCCCAGAGGGTGTGCCAACCTGCCCTGCCTCCTCCTGCACCCATAGTGTCCCTGCTGGGGTCTGTGCTTTGCAAGGCAAAACTAATCTGCCCTGCAAAGCAGAGCTGGTTAATTGGCTAATGCACCAGTGCTGTTTTCCATGCTGCAATTAGCTTGGTTGCATTGGTGTGGCATTGCCCCAAAGTAAGGTAGGGATGGGGCCCTCCTGGGTTTAGGGAGGTGCTCAGGCTGTTTGTGAGGGCTCAACACTGCAGTGAGTACCCCTTTTCCCATGGCAGTGTCTGAACCCCTCTCAGACCATTTCTGGGCTCATTTCATTATCCTTTTGCGACCTTGCTTGCTCTGGCTGGGCTCAAATCAACCCCTGGTAGCAGGATGACAACAGACACCCTCTGTCACCTCCCTAGAAGCAGTAGGGTTAAGTGCTAACTTAACCCCCCTGAGTGAGCAGGCTGCCTTTGTCCTCAGGATGCTGGAGGGTCCTGGCAAACCCTACAGACCTCCCATGCCTCCTGCACACTTTCTGGGCCTCCCCTTGGGCATGCTGAGATGGCCGTGGAGGGAGAGGGACCAGCCCCACAACGTCCAGCCTCCCCACCCCCCCAGCCCAAGGGGTCAGCCCTGCTTCACCACCCCAGTGCACGTAGGGCTGCAGGAGCGGGACAGATGTGATGTCTCACTCCTGCCTCGTGTCCTGCTGTCCCCTCCTCTCTTCTCCTTGCCCCTGCCTGGGGGTTGCAGGGAGGGCTGCCTGCCCCTGAGACCTGCTGTGGGGTGGGAGCTGCTGAGGGGCAGCAGCCCCCGGGGAGCCCTGGGTCACCTCCGGGGCAGCCGGTGAGCAAGGAATGGGACAGGTAAGTGTTGATGTGGGGCTGTCACACCTCACAGCTGGGTAATGCCTGGCAGTGGCTGATGTTGCCGTGGGGCTTGGGGGCAGCGCCATGGGGCTGGGGGGCAGATGCGATGCTTTTGGGACAGTGGGCTGGACCGGGGGAGCAGATGATGGGAGAGAGGAGCATAGGAACGGATGGATAGATGGATGGGTGGATGGATGGATGAACGGACGGACGAACAACGGTCCTGTGTGTGTGGTGATAGTGACCCGCAGTGGCTGGTGACAGGTCAGCAGCTTCCCCTTTGGGTGTGTGGCATCCTCAGCGCTCAGGTCCTCTGCGCCCAGGCAACCCAGCCCAGGGCACAGCAGTGCCCCACTGCCCGCGTAGGAGGTGTCCAGACCCCTGGCACTGCCCGGGGAGGAGGTCTGCTCCTGGGGACAGTGAAAGGGCAGCCCTTGCTCCAAGAGGGGAGATGTGAGTCAGGGCAGGGACCAGGTGTCAGGAGCCTGCAACGGTTGGTGTAACAGGGAGCAGGAGAGGAATAAATGTGGGGAAAGAGGTGGGGGGGAAGACAAGGAAGGAAAAGAGGAGTGGGAAAGTAAGAATGGACAGTACCCAGTTCCCTGCCATTGCCCTGAGGGGAGAGACCCATCGCCCCAGGGTAGCAGTGCCCCCCCCCCACACAGGACTGGGCACTGATGTGCTGGAGCCTCGGGGCCAAAGACATCCACCACCCGATGTACAACCTGGTCCTTCAGCAGTGGGGGAGCACGGAGAGGATCACAGACTGGGGCTGGGCACACTGGGGTGGAGGTGAAGTGGGGGGGACAGGGATGACAGGGGCAGAGAGGAAAAGGAGAGAAGGAAAGCAACAAAAAAGAGGGTGCCAGGAAGGAGGGGGGAAGCTGAAGAGTTGTCACAGACTTAGAACATTCACCTTGATGGGCCGTGACAGGTTTAATTTCCAGAGTACAACCATTAAAGTGATGGATGTGAGGCGTTCATCTCGCGCCTGGCGCACACAGGCCCACCATGGCTGCAAGAGGGTTTGTTTTGTTGCTGTTATTTATGAGGTTGTTTCTGCAGGAGCCAGGCACTCATCCAGTGCTGGGGGGGCAGAGGAGGGGACACGATTGATGCCGGAGGAGTTGGGGTGCTGATTTACGGCTGCTTAGCCAGATGACTCATGTTGTAAACATCGACAAATGCCATTAAAGCTGCATCTCCTTCCTGCCTCTGCCCTGGCACCCTCCCTGTGCTGCGGGATGCGGCCAGCCCTGCTCTGCACCGTGCTGCTGCCTGCACACACCAGAGAGGCTGTCTGGCCCTCCACACCACGGACATGAGAGTCCCCCCACTCCCTGAGGGACATCCAAGGTACCGGGAAGATGTAGGAGTGACCCACGGTGGTGGTGGTGCCCCATGGGAATGATACCCGGGATACCCTGTGGGCTTGTGCAGCCAGGGCTCCTCAGCCTGTGTCCCTCTGTCCCTTTGTCTCTCTCGGCCCCATAACTTCTTTCGGCAACGATCACAACTTGTTGTTTGTGCCACCAGTGCTCCAAGGTTCTCGGGGTGACCCAGCCCCATGAAGTGCCACCCCACCCCTATGCCAGCGCTCTCCAGCCTGCTGCACCCCTCACCCCAGCAGCAACCCCACCTCTTTGCCCTGCAGAACTCCTGACCCACCCATCCCGCACACCCACGTACTTCATGGCACCCCCTTTGCCGACGCAGCTTGGCACCTGTCCCCCGGCACCCATCCTCATCACCCCTGAGCTCTCCCCTGGACACCTCCACCTGCACCCCTCGGGCTGCCACCCTCCTGAAGTCCCCCACCTCCACCTGCTCCCCATCTACCCCTGCACTGCTCTCTCTCCCGCCATCTG